CTCCAAAATGTACACAAGGCTATGAATCATGCTGTTACATTTTACTGCAGGGTAATAATAATACAAGTGATAAATCTGCCATCAAACAAGCGAGGGAAACTACAGAACATTACGCACAAGCTGCTGCGCACTACTGTTCTCTCCCTCTGTCAAGACACACACAAACACACACAAAATACAGTGTAAATACACATCATGATAACATCACATAATGGCCCACAATCCCTGAGTGATATACAGTACACCTCCTGTGCCGTGGCTCATGGAACACCTCTCTACACTCCTCTCTCCTGTCTTTGGGCACTGGTGTGATAAGGCAGCGATGGGTTGTATTACTTCACTTGGGTACTCCCGTGGGGGAATCCCCCTGGTGTAGCTGTGTGTGTGTGTGTGTGTGTGTGTGTGTGTGCCCATGTGTGTGTGTGGCCACAGAAAAGGAAGAATGCAACCATTGAGCACCCTGCCATTGCGCCAGCAATCCTCTCCCCCGCACCCCCGCACCCCCGCCCCTTCCCGTCCTCACTTGCACTCTGACGTACAGTTGAAGCAGATTTGGTGACATGAAGATAAAAGCCTTCCTCTGTTTCTCTGCTTTCCTCTTTCTCCAATGTCACCAGAGCACTGAGTGCTGGTGCCTTGGCCGTAGACATAGAGAGCTCATTCAAACTGACACAATCACTTTTCACTTCTGCTTTGTGATAAGCCAGAGTTCAGAGTCTCTCAGTGCAATATGCCCACCAGCAGCTCTGTGCAGGAAGCCAAGGGACGCTACATCGCTGTATATGCTCCAGCTGTGCTCTGACAACTGTCACAAGATGCCCCACAGAGGAACTTTTTATTCAAAGGAATCCTCGGTCATTAATCTGACAACTATGTCAAGCCTGCAGAGGTTTAACAGTTCTGTACAGAGCAGCAGACATTCAACCTGTCAGTGCAATCCTTTATGGTGGGATAATTCGTTTTAGAAGCAGTAAGAACAAAAATAATTCATTTGATTTGTAAAATTTAATTTGTCTGGCAGGAAATAGTGATTCTAAAGATGCACTAACCATTCAGCCAAGGCGTTTTTGATTAGCAACTTTACGTGGAAGTCAGTCAGCATTACCTTTACCCTGAAAAACAGAAAGAGAAATGTCAAGCAAATATTAAAGAGAAGATGGGATTTACTTTGTCTTCAGCAAGTTTTGATTGTTCCCTTTTCTTGTTTGTAAAACTGTAAAGGTGATAGAATATAGAGGACAAAGTGTTATATATGTGAAAGATTTATACTTTTTAACTTGTGGAATTGTTGTGTGAGTTTATTTTAGGATTATAAATCTGGTTAAAATGATGGTTAGGTTTAGATTAAATTTGAGGGTAAGCTTGTAACGGTTATTGTTAAAGGCAGGGTGAGTCTCCAAGGAAATTAATGTGAATCAAACCAATGACAACAACAAGCGCTTGTGTTTGTGTATATTACTGTCTTTGTGAATGGATCACATGACATGTGACGCTGGTGGATACAGTTAATTACCCACACGTCAAATCCTATTAAAAGGACACAGTAATAATCTCTAATCACTTCCATGTCTGGTGGAATAAGAGAGCAGGTTAATCTGGATTACACGTCACCATGGCGAGGTGGTCACAGCAGAGGCAGCTGATACAATGACCAGCCAGGAAGAGAGAGCAGGTGAAACACAAAGACAGGGAGAAGACTGGGGACCCACAAAGAAGCTGGTGAGTTATAAAGACTATAGAAACACTTTGTTTTTATAGGTAAATGATCCATTATTCATCCAGTTCACTTTACATGACCAGAGCAGGCTTATGGATACTGACAACGAACATAAACAACAAAGGTATTGACATGCAATCACCTCAATTTTACAATAATAATAGAAATATGAAAGCCCATTTTATAAAATGAATGATCCATTTATAAGGGCTTACCCAGGATGACCCGAATTTTTGTTTAAAACTGAAAAGAGGGAGAACATCGCTGACATGAAGAAGAACTTGTGATCTATGCCTATAGGATATGTTTTACCCGAATAAGCCATGGGGCCGCAATTAAATTTAACTTAACAATCAAATGTATTGAAAACTGTCCTGATAAGGTGACACGTGACAAATAGAAGAAATGTGAAGTTATCCATGAAAGGTGTAATATTCAACCTGCACTGTCACGCACTTAACCAAACCAGTGTTCACCCCCATCAGATGACAGAAATAATACTACAATCTATTGACAACTGTTTCAGTGTGACATTGTGAATTAAAGGGAGACATTTTCAAATTAAATTAAATTACAAATGCATGCACTCAAGGAGGTTTTTGTTTTTTTTGTGTTTTAGCTGGGGCCTGGTGGCATGTGATCTGCATGCCCTGCAGCTGATCCTGGCATGTGGGACTGACCAGTGTTCTCTAGCATTAACCCACCACCACACGCTCTTCAAGCATGTTACAAACTAACTTAGCATGACTGGAATGTTGGATGCTCGGCACATTACAGTGCATACTTGGATGAGATAAACCGGGACAATTTGGGTGTTTGTATGTGTTGGTGTTTCAAACAGGGCTCCTCTCTTTTGTGCACACGCGCAGAAGCATGGGTTTCTTATCCGCACGTCAAAGAGTTTCAAGGTGTAACACGTGGAGAGGGATTTCCCCGGGCAGACGGGTTTACGTTAGCTTACCACGAGTGCTCTGCTTTCACGGCTGTTTCTGCCTTCAGCCTACAACTTTCCGCCATTATTACAAAAACGCAGAGGTGTATCCTGACTACAATGGTCCTCTCTGCTCAAATAAAATAAAAAGTCTCTGCTCAGCTGGTGTGGAAGAAGCAGCGCTGCTGTGCGAAGCTTGCGAGCCATCATCACATCCACAAACCTGTTGTATGTGTCTGCTTGACGAACCGAAGCTTATACATCTTCGGGTTTACGGTCGTTTCATTCCCCGCTTTTCCAGCCTTGTCCCCGGGTAGAGAGAGAGACGCTGTGAGCAGTGAGAGTGACCCTCGACAGTTGTTTCTCTCTGGGTATGACGGTTGTATCAGCTGACTGTAAAACTATGCCCTACTGAATAACAGGTTAACACTGAGTGTGCTGATTTTGGAGCCGGGGCTCACTTCACTGTATCCTATATCGCCCAGGTGGCTTTTGGCGGATGAAAACGGGGACACGCTGTGCGGCTAAAAATACCTGTCTACGACTATATTTGGCTTGGCTGGATCACAAACGGAACGCTGAAATAGTCGGGCCCGCCCCGGGACAATGAATGGACTCTCTGCTATCTCACCCTGCCTCCGTCGGCCAGTTATTTTTAGTAACAAGGCTTGCGTCAATCACGAGCCTCAGTGCGTCAAGGCTTCCCCGCCCCCTGAAGCTCGTCATTGGTCGGAATTAGGACGTTACGCGCCTCGTGATTGGCTGTTGTGAGTTATTGTTCTGAGCCGCTCCGGAGGCAGTTTTTTAATTTTGAGGTTGCTGGGGAGGATGGCTTCTTACTTTTATATCCCGTCAACCTTATTTGGTTATTTATTTATTTGGTGTGTTGGTTGGTGAGAGTATTCCTCACTCATAACCAATTTTATCAATTAGATTATGCAATTAGATTAAACACGGCCCTCGACTGAGTCAAATTAACTTTAGTCACATTTTCTTTATATTGAAGAACTTTTGCTGAATCATAGGTTATCTAGTAAACTAAAAAGATAAGGAGCAAACTAAATGTTATGTTTAAATCACACACAAAAAACATTTTAACAAGTCAGGTAGTTTCATTACATTCCTTCAAAATGTCATTTATTAGATTTAAAAAATGATCCTATGATATGATGAGATAATCCAATCTTCTCCCACTGCAATTTCCCTGATGTCAGGATTTCTCTTTGAATAGCCTGAGTGTCAATGTCTTGAGGATATAAGGCTGGACACTGCGATGTGATTTTAGGGTGGTAAATTGAGATAAGTTGATTTGTATTGGGAAAAGAGTGAATCATCTAGTTAGATAATTTCACTTCACAAAATAACAACCTGACAATGGACACAATAACTTGAGATAAGAAAAGGTCATAAAAATAGGCATAAGGAAGCAAAGACAAAGACTTCTTGTGGATTTAAGGCACATAATCGATATATTGAACATCTTCATAGGCTCATTTGTCTGAGGAAGTTCAGGCAATACCTATACTTTATATTATAATAACACATAAAGGTCCTGCATTAAAAATTCAAATACAGCGTACTAAAAGTACTCATTATGGAGAAAATCTAAACGTTATATACAAACAACATTCATTTGAAAAAATAATCTGAATCTGAAAAGTAATAAATAAGTGCAAAAGTGCAATATTTATCCATAAAATATAGTAAAGGATACGTATAGAGTTAAAAAAAAACATTCAAGGAAAGTTGGTCTTCCCTTAAAAGTGTGCAATACAGTACTTACTTACTTTTCACCACTGTTACTCTTCTCATACAAAAAGGTTGATGGTAACTAACATTTGTATGCCAATGTCTTTTGGCCTTTTATTTGTGAGATTAGATAAGTGTTTAGTGAAAGTGAACTCTTACATGTCTCACTGATTCGTTTTTATGGTTAAATCATTATTACAATTATTTTTACAGTTACTCTCAATGATAACGATGAGAACATATTGTGAAATAAAGTTCCTGCCAGTGGCACATAAACAGTGTGTCTGCCTTTACCAGTAATGGTGCAAGCTCGCCCGCCGGATCCCCCTCGGCTTCCTCTCCTGCAACCATCAAACCAACCGCCTCTCTTTCTCACTCCCTCTGATCCTCTCTCCGCCCCTCTCTCGCGCGCTCTCTCTCTCGCTCTCTCGCTCTCTCTCTCTCTCTGCCACTGCAAGCGGGGCTTATGTGTCTGGTACTGTAGGGGAGAGAGAAAGAGAGCGAGAGAGTGAGTGACGTCACCTCTCCCATGGCGTCACATTGACGTAGCGCATACCAGCCGCTCTATGTGGAGACAGAGCCCACATAAATGCACTAGTTGACTTTCTCTCCTCAGACGGCGCACATAAACAAACCCGCGTTACAACTCCACACTTTGCAAAGCCCCCATCAGCACTGACACACTCACGGGAACGGACGAAGACACACTCCTTATATCCGGGAGTTTTGAATTTTTGAATTTTCTGTTTCATGTTTTTTCTACTTTAAGTAAGAAGAAGAAACTTTTTGTCGCCGATGCATCCTGATCCTCCGCAACATTAGGCCTACCTTTTTATATATATGTTCTCTCTATTACTCGACTCTTGGTGATTATTCTGGATGGAAATGGGATACTTCATGCGAGGTTATTACCACATGTAAAGACGGAACCGTTACAGCAAACCAGTGAGTAAACTGTGAATGAATGAGTCTCTAATATTCTACTGTACAGCGCGTAGACTACTTGTTAGATTGCCGGACTCATTCAGAGCCAAAACATATTAACTCTCAGCTGTGTGTACGCATGTTCATATTAGGCGACCTACATTATATATATGTCATTTGGAATCTATACTCTTTTTTTTATCATTCTTGTCTGCTCTGTCCAACTTGGTGCGTCCAACCTGTTGATATGTCAAACTCCAACACGCTGCTCGTACAGTATGTCCCTGTGTGGTGTCTCCAAATAGCAAAATGAAGCTGAATTTAAATTTAATTTACGCTGGGAAGGTATCATATCCTTTCTGGTTGTCATGGAAATGAGATGCCTCTCACTCACACAATGAACAGTGGAGTCAGACGCATTAATGGTCTGAGTGGAGAATAGTCTACATTCAGAAGCTGAGAGAGAGGAGAGATAAAGCTCCTTGATTTCATGCCATGTGAGGGTTTTTATTTTTATTTGTTTGCCTTATCATGTTGGATTTTCTGAGGGGTTGTGTTGTTTACGAGTTTACGTGCACGTCAGGTGGGATACGGGTTTGTGTTTATATACAATGTCACTGATAGGCCATATACTACAGCAGGCTATTGTTTCACAAATGAAGCCAATACATCGTTATGATTCTCAACCCTGGTTTGCTTTTAGGAATTAAAGCTCCACAAACAGTCATGTAGTGTGAGCTGTCCCCTGACCACCATAAAGCCACATCAAATTTCTGAAGCCGTCTGTGAAGTATTTCTCAGAAGCTTCTGAAGGCAACACAGACACTGTATTCTATAACAGAAGTGAGGCTTAGTGCTAATCGTATAATGTGTCATAAGAAACTACCACTGCTGAATTTAGGTTGTTTTCTGGTTTTATCTTTCTTTCTTTCTTTCTTTCTTTCTTTCTTTCTTTCTTTCTTTCAGGTTTACGCACGCACGCAACCGCGCACGAGGGGACTTCTGACAGTCTCCCTCTCAGGACTGATTTACAGTACTCACATATTTCTCTGGTCTCTCCTTTTTGTCCTCTCTTTTCTCTGTCTCTGTTTGCTGGAAGCCTCGCGCTGTCCGGGGTTATTGGTGCAAGGGGCTACCGGGGGCTACCGGCGCTCCGGGGCGCGTGCTTTGCAGCTCTTATGCCGTTCTCTTGGTTACCGGTGCGCGCAGGGCCAGAGCCCTACCGACCGGCACGGCCTGAGAAGAAAGCGAGAGGCGATCCGTTTGCTCATTTAGAAAAAAAAACTGACCGAATGTCTCACTTTGCAGAATTAGTTTTTATCTTTTTCCTTTTTTAAGTCAACATGCCATTTTATTGTCACTTTCTTAACCCTTCACAAAAGCTGTGATAAGAGCACGTTTACGCACAGTTGCGCTCTCAACTTCATAAGTGTATGAAAGAATGAGGCTATGTTGACGTATATCAAGCAGTATCTTATTTCTGAAACTGCCATAACCAAATAGCTTTATTGGCTTAAAGTTTTTTTTCTGCACTCAAATAGTTCCACACAGAATTGAGTGTGTTCCAATTCAACCCTAATCAAATACGTGTTATACTGACTTGTTTGTTTACTCTGGTTTGTCTTCTTTATTTACTTAAACACATTTGACGAATAGTCATGCAAACGTTTCCTCACATAATTGGTCTATAAGAGTTTGGGGAAAAGTGGATGTTATCCGACACCAAGTGGAGGAGTTTGATTTGTTGACACAAAGATAAGAGATGGCAGCAGGCTGCAGGTGCCTGTAGCACTGAGAGTCGGTTGAGATGCATACTGGGAGATCGAGTGGTCTCTCGACTTGACCATATATCCCAGAGGGTCTGTTTGTCTGGCAGAGAGAGAGAGCGTGTTTTTATAAGAGTGTGTGACAGAAAGGGGGCGCTCTGTGCCTTGAAATCCGGCGGCCATGGTGCGCCCTGCTGCAGAGGGGAGTTGAAGGCTCACGGCGCACAGGAGTCCACTGATTCGGTTTCAGGTCCGACTCTTACATTTCTCGATTTCTCTCTGCATCTGGATGAACCCTGAGCAGGCGAATACGGTGGTGATCAGAAACAAGAAAATCGATGGCCTGGAGGCATTGACAAAGACGGCTTTTATAAAAGTGGTCACTTTTGTAGGTCTGTATTTGTAGAAGTTGTGTACAGTTTTAGCCCGGTTGAATAAGTATTTTGTTGCGCAAAATTAGAGTTATAATAATAATAGAGCACAGCGTAGTGTTAGAATGAAACTTGTCGCCCACGTATGTGTAATTCTTGAAATGAGCTAAAAGTCCTCAGTTGTGGTTCATATAGTCTCTTTGTAGCACCGATCCAGTGTCATATTTAATGCCAACGTTGGTCTATGTTTCATTTTAATGTGCACATCTTCTTTTTACTTTGCCTTCCAATGGATTTACATGAATGATTGCAATGATTTCGCATTTGGCATTTTGCTCTGATGGGCACAGAAGTTTTGCATGCCCTTTCATTTTTCTGCTTCTTTTCATCCGATTTCCTCACTTTATTTGTTAGATTACATTTTGGCAAATAGTTTTCCTCTATTTGAGCGCAAAATCAAGTTGTAGCTTATTGTCTAAAAAGTAGAAATATTTTTCTGGATTTTAAATGTTTTGAGGTGGTAAGAATCTTATGAAGTCCGACCTTTTTTAAGAAATGAACTTTAGGAAGTAAGCTTGCTTCTGAAAAATAGTTAACATCGTTTAGTCTAATTCTGAATTTAAGTGTGATACAATTGTATATTGTTGCCTTATGATGATCACTGAATGAGATGACCGTACGTACCTTTTTATTCAGCGTGTCGCCACATCACTGCCGGTGACCCAGACATCTCTCCTCCAGACACAGGTTCGGAAGAGCGCGCCCAGCCGAGCTCGGAGCAACGGCGATCGGAGACTTCCTTTGCGACGCCCGCCGAATCCTCCCCGCTCCAGAAGCCCTGTCCCGGCTGCAGCCACGCAATCCCTCAATCCCGGACACTCAGCACCATTCAGCGCGAAGCTCTTTCACCAGGTAAAGACCCCAGCCCTTCTTTTTAAATTTCATCGAATCTTTTACTTTCTCTTTCTTTCTTTCTGTCGTTCTGTCTTTCTTTCTTTCTTTCTTTCTTTCTTTCTGTCTTTCTGTCTTTCTTTCTTTCTTTCTTTCTTTCTTTCTTTCTGTCTTTCTGTCTTTCTGTCTTTCTTTCTTTCTTCACATAATCTATTTTCTCAGTTGATGCGTAAATGCGACTGTTTTTTTGCACCTATTGGTGTGATAGGTGTTTGGTTATGTTTAGTGTATTATTGTATGAAAAAATGCAGACCCCGAAAAGTCTATTGTCAACTTACAGGTAAAACCAGAGTGTACGTGTGTAATAGGTTGCATTTTAACTTTATATACTGTGTTTAAAATTCAATAGCAAATCAAAAACAATTCTGAACCTTTTTGTTGTGCGCAAGAGTGTCTGCTCGTGTGCCCTTGTGTATGTGAGTGATTGTGTGTGTCGGCTGGCAAATGCGGACTGAACTTACATTTCAATAATTAGACAAAAAGAAATCTGAGAGGCACACCTAAATCTGGGGGACAATCACATTGGGCATAGACAACGATCCTCTTATTACTATTTTGTACTGTTTCGGTTACATACATTTTTTATTTAGGCTTGTTATTTTTATCCTGGTCAAAGGAATATTCAATCTCCACATAGTATACTTTCTGTCCTGGATAAATTGAAAACATGATAAAAAAAAACATGATAGATATTTAACATATAGTCAGTGGTGGTGTAAGTGTTCTTTTGTGTGGGCCTATGTGTGCATATATATATATGAAAATCACTTTACTTATTGTGTGAGGCCACTGAATTGAGTTCAACCAATTTATCTCATAATTCACTGACAACAAAAATACTGTCTTTGTATTTATGTCTGCAACTTCATGTTTTTATTTGTTAGATCTATGGCATTCTGACAATGAACAAGCGCGCTCAGTTATTGGAACAGCTGCAGTTTGTCCAGTTGAAATGCACACCTCGAGGTTAGAGACTGTTTCCCTTCGCCTCAATGCTGCACCACCTGTGTCTGACTCTGCTTGGGTTGTCTGTCCTCTTGCTTGTGCGCGCACACACACACTGCTTGCATAGGCTAATAAAGACAATCTGAGGGTGGTGTTGGAGTGTAGAAGGTTTCCTACAAGTTAGCTTCAGTGGCATGAAAATGAAGATGCTCCACAGATACAATTCTATTTGTATTGTTGGTTAAGAAGGAGAGGGTGCATGCTTGTGAGGATGTGTGTGTGTGTGTGTGTGTGTGTTGCTGAGAGAAGGATAGGCACACCACCAAATGTAAAGCACTAAAGAGGATGAGATGTTTGCAAACACTATAGTGGTTTTACAGGTTTTTCTTAGGATAAGGGCACATGTTATTGGTAGAATGAGCGTATGCAGGTTCATGTTGGCATCTTGAACATCATTACTGATGAAAACATGCTTGTGTGTGTGTGTGTGTGTGTGTGTGCCTTTATGTGTGTATGAATAAACAAGTCATCAAAAGCATCTTTCCTCACCTGACACACATAGACAAACACAGTCAATACAGTTTGAAGTATCTGTCAAGTATATGGCCTGTATATTGGCATATATTTGTTTTGCAAAATTTCTCAGCCTCCCTCTTTTTGTCATTCACTTCTTCTTAAAATGTTGTGTGCATATAGCTGCTAATAAAATACTCTATTTGCAGGTGTTATAAGTCTTGAACACATGCACACACACACACACGCACGCACGCACACACACACACACACACACACACACACACACACACACACACACAC